CTTTATTGTCATTGCACATGCACAGGTACAGGGCAACGAAATGCAGTTTGCATCCATCCAGAAGTGCTTTAGTGATATAGATATATTACAATATATATTAGCAATAGTATAGATATGTAAGTATACTACAGAAATGGGTCTATTATGGTATGTTGTGAATATTCTATAACTATATGTACAGGCTGTAGTGAGTACAAGCTATGAAAAACTATACAGAATATGAAATAAATAACTTTACAGAATCTGAGATATACAGCTATACAGAAATGGGAACTATGCAAGTTGTAAACAGTTGTAGGATTAAAGATTATCGAATGTACAGAATGATTATTTACACAGAGCTATACAGTAGTGCAGTTAAGATAAGTGAGGGTGTAGATAGTTTCTACAGAGGCTATATAAAGTGCTAGTGGTTGTGAGTGGTGGTTCAGTCCATGTTATTATTGTGTGTTTGAGGGTACAGTTGTCCATTGTGGGTGTGTGTATGTTCAGTCCATGAGTTAACGTGGGTCAGATGTCAGATTTGAAATTGAAATAAAAGGTAGCCAATCATGAATTTGAGAATCATGTATTAGAGCTTCTATTGAAGGAAGAAAAAACAAAGACGACAAGCTCAACAGCAAACCTTGTAAAAATAAATAAAAACTAATAACTGTATTGACAGTATATATATTGAGATCAACTCATGCATCGTATTTTAACCACCACAATAAATCAACAGCCAGCCCTGAGTCACCATCTCATCAAAACAAATATAATTTACCACTAACCACAAAAAACGACAACAAAAAGAAAAACAATCTGTCACTGAAAGCGAAATATGCTCCAGTTAAAATCCAAGCTGGGCTGCACATTTATCAAGTGTAGCAAACAAACATTTCCTAATGCAATTCTGGTGCTATAGCGTGTGAAATGCGTTCATACATGCAGACGCATGCCTCTTTCACAACTCAATTTCAAAAGCGGTTTCTCACTAATTACATCAGAAAAGGGTGGGCAGAATCGAGTCGGACATGGTCAGGGTTGGCCCTTTCCCTCGTCTAACACACAGAGCTCGTGTCAGACGCTTTCACACTACTGGAAAAAACTGTTGGGGTATTTTTCCACCTCTTGAAGAGTGTTGCCTAGGCAGAAGCGCCGACAAATACTCTAAAATCCATATTTTTATATGTACATCTGAAGAATTAAACAATTGCCAGAACAAATAATTCTGACAGGAAATGGGACGACTAGAGAGCGAATAGGCTCAAGATAATTACATATCCGATCAAACTGCATCCAACGTTTGCATTCTCGTGCACCTTCTTTGAATATCTTGCAATATCCATCTTTAGCGTGCAAAGCTAGTGTGCATGTGTAACAACAGCTTTATGCAAACTATTTTTTCCAAACAGGAAATCCATGTTTAAGTGAAAAAACAGCTGATATGCAAAATGTGCATTTTTATAGCTGTCACCGTGTTGGTTCCATAATTTATCATAATTAACATAAAAGATGTCAATATGTCGCATGAAAAACTAATAGTGGGTTATGAACATGAGGTTATTAAATGTGTAACAAAATAATTACCTACAAATATAAGAAGTCAGAATATTTTTAATGACAGATTTCTGTGGGATGATTCTGACACCAAACTGTAGCTTTAGCCGAAATTAAACCCACTATGAAAAGTACTACTGAAATAAAGTTAATATAAAGAATATGTTGTAAAGAATAGTTAACTTCAATCTTTACAATACCAGGGACATATGTGAGTCTTACCTTTCTCTTCTTGTCACCACCCAACTCGAAGTGCTTACATCTCTTGATGGCCAGCATTCTCTTGGATCTGCAGTTGGGCTCCACACACTCGAGCCTCAACACAATCTTCTTTGTAGTCTTAGCCTGTTTGACAGTATTTCAGTGAGTGTCATTTCCCCTCACATATATCTCAACACGATCAATCCAACAGTACAATGCTGTGAGATAGTATTTACCCTTTTCATGATCATTTTTCCTGTGAATTTGTCACACCTTAGCATTTTAACACTAGATAAAGATAATCTGAGTAGGGCTTGCTGTTGCGTTTTGGATCAGTCCTGCAGCATAACCCGAGGGCACTTGCAGATAAAAGCACAAACAGATGGCTGGACACTTTAGGATTTTCTGGCAGAGAGCAGAAGTCATAGATCCATCAATCAGAGCGGCAAAACAGCCTCTGACCATCACACGTCTGCCACCATGTTCGATTGGTATATTTTATCAAATGCTTTTAGTTTTGTGCCAGATGTAACACTACTTACATTTTCCAGAAATTTCAACTCTTCTCGACAGTCCACAGAATATTTCTGTCTTGGAGGGGGAGGGTGGGCGAAAGTGAAACTATTTGGTCAGTAATGGTTTGCACCTTGAAACTCTCCCATGGACGCCATTTTTGTCAACTCTCTCCCCACTGTTGAATCATGAACTCTGATCTTAACTGAGGCAAGTTTTTTAGATCTTTTGCGACCTCCGAGATGAGCCATAGATGTGCTGTTAAGAGTAATTTGGATAGGCTAGTCACTCCTGAGAAGGTTCGTTACTGCCCACAAGTTTTCTCCATTTGTGGACCATGGCTCTCTCCATGTTTCCAAAGCCAGAGAACAGCATTGCAACCCTTTTCATACTAATAACATCAATGTCTTGTTTGTCATCGTTTCTTAATTCCTTTAGATTGTGGCGTGATGTGCCGCTTTTTGATATTTTTTAAAAACTTAAAACCTGTACAACACATTGAAGTAAGTGACTTCTTCATATCAACAGATATGGCAGTATTCAGGCCTGGGAGAGGCTATTGAAATTTTACTCAACTACCCAAAAAATGTGGCTAATTACACTTAAATCGTGATTTCACACAGGGCAAAGTAAAAACTGTGCTTTCTATTTACTTAGGTTATTTTTTTATAATATAAACAATTAGTATGATGATGATCTCAAACTTTAAAGTGTGACAAAATTAGCAGAAAAATATAAATCTGGAAAAGGACATACTTTTATTACAGCACTGAATGAGAAAGCCATGGTTACCTTTTTTCGGAAAATCGGCTTAGACTGACCGCCATACCCACTCTGCTTTCTGTCGTATCTCCTCTTACCTGAAAAACATTTAGTTTAGTCAACACATACTTGAACAATTAATAAAATAAAGCAAGGATCCACTGATGCATTATGGGTTCAAAACAAAATATTGGCCCATATTTGCAGACATCTTACAATTTCCCTTCTGTGATAGGAAAAAGATTGTAGATATATTAAGTGCTAAGACACTAATCTATTGATTTATCAAAATATGTGACGACAAATAATCAGATAATGCCATAGATGAGGCCAGTGTCGTGCAAAAAATTTACTGCTGATGCTCGTGTGACTTTGTGTATATCTTTGTTTGTATTAGTAGATGTAGTAAGCAGAATTTACTGAGTTATATATAAAATAAAGAAATGACCTGTTTTACAAGAATCCATCCATGTCATCAATCCAGTCTTTTTTGGCTACTTAAAATATATTTATGGAAATGCTGTTAAATTTGGTGCAATTTGCTCTAAAATCTTGATCAAATCTACTGAAAAATAAACTTTTAACTGCTTGTATTTTGCGACAGGAACGTTCTTCCTGGCTCATAGTGACTTGATATCACTTAAAAAAGATGTTTTTGACAGATCACAGGTCAATGTTTTATATACAGACACTTTTTTTGACTTTAGACACCAGTGCATCCCTTAAATACAGGACAAACATATTTACCCTGTACATAAAGAGAATCCTTCCCCTTCTTGTACTGGGTAACTTTGTGGGGCTGGTGCTTCTTGCACTTCTTGCAGAAGGTCCTGCGGGTTTTCGGGACGTTCACCTGCACAACACAGAGAATAACATTTGAGCAGACGTGCAGTATACACAAAATACCACAACGCGGACTAGCTAGCCACGTCCAACAGGCCCAAGCCATAAAACTCACAACACTTATGAAAAATCAAGTGCACAGCTATCAAAGAGTTTTGTTCAATCATTTTCGAAATTGACTTAATACACAGAAGCACCGAGTTTATCATTTAAACTGTGGCCGGCAGTGTTGGGGCAAGCTAACACGTTGGCATCGCTATTTTAATGAAAACAGCGTAAACAAGTGATGCTCCAATACTTTTTACAAAGCAAAACACGTTTTGACGTAGCTGTTAATTGATTGTGATGTTTCGCTTGTTTAGTTTTTCGCTTCTGACAGAAAGGCCGGTTGGAGTAGAAAAACCAACAGTGGCGTTTCGCCACTAAGATAGCATCCATCAATATAACAGCGTTAAATATACCAAAGATGGCCAATACCGCCATAGTTACGCACATTGTAACATTATCAACATGACCGGGTGTATCAAATACAGAAATTGTACTTTAATCGGCAGGATTGAGATAGATTTGTTTTAGGTGTAATGGTAGCATACCATGGCTGCAACCCGATGCAGAGGGAAAGAGGAAGAAGGAGGCCGGAAGCAGTTCTTAAAGTCGCCCCTTCAATAGACCTCAGCCGTAGACAGGTCTGCCCCCTAGCGGCCGGAGATGCAAAGAAGCCAAAACCATGAAAAGACTGCAAACGGCCCCAATTTTAAGGAGAGTGACAGCCATGGAGTGCACAGCATAAACCTGACAAAACTCAGTGGGTCAGTAATATACTAAAACACAAGCTATACATTTTACTCACAGTGAAAAGGCTTTAATGCCTGCAGAAGTTATCATTTTGAAATATCTTTTAACAACGTAATAAGCAGGTGAGAAACTAAGAAATCCACTCAGGTTACAGTGTAACTATATGTAACAACCAAATATGGCCTTGCATTAATGTTTAGCCCGCTTCCACTTATCACCAAAACTGTCCAGAAGGCTGATATGAAAATTAGCAGCAAGAAAAAGGGGAAGTAAGCCCTGTCGATTCCTCTCTGTGGGTGTGTTTTAAGCTTCTTGCATCACAGACCAACACACATTTTATGGAAAGCCAGCTACTGAGGCAAAGGTCCATGCCACTCTTCAAGCTTCAGCATCTGCAGTTGTCTGATGTGTGTCATTTTTCAACATCTGGGTAAGCAGCACTTGTTTCTAAAGGAAGTATTTTTAGTTGCACTTTGTTCATAGAACTATAAATGAGAGAAGCAACCTTTGAGTACACTTCATCTGAAAGACCGAGGCCAAAAGTAGCATAGATTAGTGCAAGTACTCAACTGAAACCCACTGTAATTTCGTTTGTATGCAAATCCTGTGAAATAACCAATGAAATTATGAATCCACAAGTGACATTTTCAGCTTAAAGTCTAACGATGTATAAAGTTTTGAATGTTTTCTGGACATAAATGTACTGTTGTGTGCTGAGTGCTGATAATCCTTTATGTGCACACACTGACACTGTTCATCAAAGTGCTTTCTTTGTAGCAGAAACTGGTTAAATGTAAAGCAAATCGCTATCGCTAATCAGGTTGTACTTTCACACAGTTACTGACTCTCCATGACAGGTATCTTGCATTGAACTGTCATTTTTAATACTTACGTGTGCATCATAGGAAATTCTCGTATCCTGACAAATAGTTCTCACAAGTCACCACAATGTTAAACTTATGTGGTATTTTAATATGCCTGAGTATTCTTTGTGGTTAGAATCAGTCTTGTGACATTACTCACTTTTTTTCTCTCTGTCTGTTTCTTTGTTACGTATGCTCACACAGAGACACACGCAAACACACATACACAAGTACGCATTTTATTGCACATAGCACTTATCTACCAGGAAACATCAGGAAACACAGCATCTTTACAGGTTCCTGTTAACATTAGTCTTTCATGATAAGGTTGTGTCTGCTGTGTCATTCACATCAGACATCATGCAGTCAAAATTTGTGCACTTTAGAATAAAAAAATGCAATAATGACCATTTATAATGATTTATTTGCTACTTAATTGCCTTTCACACAGAGGGTGTAGTGACACAGTTGGCCTGTATTAGATTATATAGTCTAGGTCACACACAGAAGAGTAAAATTACAAATGGAACCTGCCAAAACTGGTACATTACATGCTTTTCAAATGTCCAACTCATGCACAGCAAAATTTAAAAGAGAGATACTGTCAGGTAAGAAGAGGTGCAGGCCACAGGGTTTCTTCTCTCTTCATATTGCAAAGCAATACTGATGCAACTTCCCTATGAGTTTGTCTGTGTCAGCCACCATGAGTCAACTCCCATCAGAAAAGGCAAAAAAATAATCTCCTCTGAGTAGCCATGATGCATTGGTAGCTGCACAGTTTCAGTCAAAAGGCTTCACTGATTTAGAGGCACATATCAAAGTTTTGGGCGTGCGCCCTCAGAGTTTTTTGACCTTCACTCGAGTTAGTGATGTGAGAAAAGACGGGTCGTGTTAAATGAGGAATGAGTAAACAATGTTTCACAGAATAGGGAACACCTCTGTCTGCTCATGAAGGCACAAACAACACCAGCAGGTAGTGTCACTCGAGTGTGAAGAAATGTCAGACTCCCTGTTAGCAGAGAGCAACAGAAGCTTCTCGTAGTGCCACAGTTACAGTTCAGATGATAGAAGGAAGTTCTCTCTCTCTCTCTCTCTCTCTCTCTTTCTCACTAAGCTGAAAATAGGCTGAGTTGAAGTGCGCACACATCTGACAGAAACTGACACACAGTGAGCGCTCGGCCGTGTAACGAGGGTGAGTCTGAGAATTTGATAGTTCACATTTGAGCAGTAACCGGTAACAAATAACTTCCCCGCATTGGTGCACTTTTGTTGCACTTTTAGAACAATGTGGTGACGGGAATACCTTGGCTTTTCTTCTGGTCATTTGGTGAGATTTTAGTTTTAGTTCTGCATTGGTCAGAACCAAAGAAGCCTTTGCTTCCCAACCTATCATCAACATCTTTCAGCTTTGTTTTCATCAGTTGTCGTGATTTTCTGCGTGTACCATCACTGCAGTACTATTTATACTGAATTAAGTTTCAGCTAGCTATATTTCCCCTAAAATATCAGGCTGTTAATGTCGCTATGTTACTAATTTCCACAACAATTAATTATTGTATGCTCCCCTTCACTCAGATTCTATCAATGTGTCTTGTTTTGGAGGTGCAAGTTTCATTTCAGCGCTGGTGGTTAGGAGGTGCTGCAAACAAGACACACTACACTGCCATAAAGCAAAAAGAGAGCCTTTTTCATTTGCCTACTTATCTTATGTGCGTGGTAAAATGTATAAATGTGCCCGAGGGGAAGGAAGCCTTCTGATAGTAGGAGTGATATATTACATGATATGTTTGCCAGCAAACAAATTTTATTTAGAAGTAAAACAAAAAATGAATCATGTCTAGACTGTATAGTTATATAAAATGAAAGAACTATACTACTGTATTTAGCCAGGTTTTTGGATCAACAAATCAGGCACTTGATATCCATTCCAAAGGCAAAGAGGAGTTAAATACTGTATCCAGATGACCAGGATGTAACAGCTAAGAGAAACAGATGTGCCACAGAGGCAAATGTTGGAAACCGAGGATGTTGCTGTCAGGAAAAGCAGGGCTTATGCAAACTACACCTAATCACACAGCGATATGCGCTAACACTGCATGCCTGTTCATCTCTTTCCAGATCTCCACTTTCACCTGTTGCAGTGGCACTGCTCCAACTCTATGAACAGTGGGTAGGTATTACATTCTTTAAAATGCTTTTCAAAGGAAACGAAAACACTGAATAAGTGTAAAGTTCAGCAAAACTTGAGGCTTTATCATAATGCTGAGCCAGTCACAGCTCTCAGCAGAATTACAGATGCTGTTGTAGTCGGGGTGTGAACATGCTGTTTAGTGGAGAAGCATTGTGTTACGCCATGATTACTCTTTTTAAACGTATCCATTTGTCACTTGTTCCAGTGCAGCTGAATCCTGAATGAATCATGTCAGACTCTATACTGGAAGAAGTCTTCATTAAAAGATCTCAACAGAAGAAGAAGACCTCACCTTTAAACTACAAAGAGAGAATGTTTGTTCTCACAGCAGAAAAAATATCCTACTATGACTTTGACACAGACAAAATGGTATGTATATAGAACTGAAGAAAGGTTCGTTTCATATTAATGTTGGCTGGCAACCTTGGGCCACCAAATAAACACTTGGCTCTTTATCTTGGACTTACCTGACTGTTTCCTCTTCTGTTAAGCAGAAGCGAAAAGGTCTGAAAGGGTCAGTTGACCTAGAGAAGATCAAGTGTGTAGAGATAGTCCAGCCAGAGCCCAATGCCCCACAAGAGCGCATGTATCCATTCCAGGTAGATATTTTTCAATCCAATTTTCATTACTGAAGTTATAAACAAGAGTCAAATGCAAATGCTTTGTACCCGATTAAACTTTATATAAAATATACACTTTGCTTGCTTTCACTGCTGTTTAGCTTCGGGCCAGAACACGTAACAGGAAGATTATATAAGAATAGAGCTGCAGAAAAAGAACAACAAACACTTTCTATTAAAAAAAACACGTACGAGCAGCACACAGCAGCATGAGTGAGGCTCTCCAAGGACTGTTCGGTGCTCCAATAGTTAACACTGTGAAAGTTAATTGTTAAGAAGTGAAACTTCCTCTCACACTCAGATGAGCTAGGGGCTTTTAGTGCCAATGTTGCCATAAATAGTAAAAGTTCAAGCTAAACATGTCTTAATTAAAGAAAAAGCAAAGTAACACTTCGTGGGTTCATGTGTTGAATTTCCGCTAACGCATTTGAAGAGACTTTTGCCACACTTGCAGCAATCTATTCTGCAATACCAAACTTGAAAAAAATAAAGAAAAAAAATACTGAAAATTGCCGTCTTGCTCCGCTGTGGATTTTTCCACAGGTCATTTATGATGAAGGGCCACTGTATATATTTTCTAAGACTGAAGACACCCGGGTTGCGTGGATAAAGAAGCTCAAAGAATGTAAGTGTGCATGTCTATTCTCGCATTTCGTCACCGTATCTCGTATCATCTTTCATGAACATGACCATATCTTGTGTATCTGAAAAACTCTGTGGCCGTATACGTGTACAGTGGTGCGCTTCAACAGCGATCTGACGCAGAAGTACCATCCATGCTTCTGGGTTGATGGGGTGTGGTTGTGCTGCCACCAGGAAGTTAAACAGGCCATGGGTTGCAAAGTGCTTGATAGTAAGAATGGTGAGAATTAGACTCCCCTTAGTTTAAAGTCTAAAATGATCAGGTCCTAAACTTTTAAATTAATATATCTAACAATGCCTTCATAGGAGTGACATCACAGCTATCTCGAAGGTCAACAAGGAAGCCGCTTCCTCCAACCCCAGCAGAGGTATAGACCTAGGACTATGAGATGAACATTCACCAAGTACACACTGTTTTCTTCTATATGACAAAAAGCTATCTTTTTTTTTTTTCCAGAAAAAGCCTACTCGTCCTTTACCTCCACAGCCTCCTGACCCACCAGCGTCCTCTGCAGGCATGACTGTTGTAGCTGAGTACAGTTACACACCCATGACACCACAAGACCTGGAGCTAAGGAAGGATGAGGAGTACACCATCCTGGAAAAGTCCGATGCAAACTGGTGGAGAGCTCGAGACAAATATGGGTAAGCTGACTAGAGGTGACCCAAAGATGTCTCGTAAGAAGAGTGTGACCGCACGTAGCCCATCAGACAAATCAAAAATCAAGCGCAATCAGTTTACTCTGGAAACTTACAGTGGAGGCTAAAGTAAACCAACTGCAAGCATTATAATGAGGAAGACAGATAATCAGTGATGATTTTGAAGCACACAGATTAAAGATAATTTATATAAGAGAACGTTCAAAAAGTGGCTTCCGGGGCTACACGGCTCGTTAGTTCATAAATTTTGCATAACAAGTAGAAATGAATTTATATAATATACGATTCACTTGAATGATTTGTAAAAGTTAGAATCTGCTGGTGTTAAGAAGAAGTTCACGTTTTGCATGTGCCATCTGTTAATGTTCTTTTCTTTTCCAGAAAAGAGGGTTATATACCAAGCAATTATGTTGTAGAAGCTGAAGATGGGCTAGAAAGATTCGAGTGAGTATCAGTGTTATTGCTTTGCCCCTAAATAGGTGTATTAATGTCACATATGGTTATACATTTTATTATTTTTAACCTAACTCATTCTTGGTTCCTTATCTGCACTCTAATTCATTTCTTATTGTTGAACTAATACAACAACATTCAGGAAGAATTAAAAATTGTTTATTTTTTTTATTGACAGCTGGTATTGCAAGAATATGAACCGTAGTCAAGCAGAAAAACTGTTAAAGGCTGAGGTAAACCCATGACTGTCATTGCCAAAAATATGTTTCCGGACTGTGTTTAAGTCAAAACTTATGAAATATGTTGTTGTAATCAGAACAAAGATGGCGGCTTCTTGGTGCGGGACTCCAGCAAGGCTGGGAAATACACTGTGTCTCTGCTCACAAGGGGTGGCGGGTGAGTAAGCTTAGCGGTGTTAAACACTGCTACCATTTATATAGTGTATCCACTCGCTCCGGTCATGTGTGAACGCATGAAAAGAAGAACTGTTTGTAATGAAAGAGGAAACAGTGGCCCACAGAGGGAGAGAGATGTAAATGACTTATGCAAAACTAGGACTAATGTGTCTGCGGTACTTTTTTTTAAATTCCAAGACTGAGCTACCCTGTTCAGAACACTGAGGAGATTTTACCTAATTATGCATATATGATAAATCATTCCTGTTCGGTGGTTCCAGTGAAAACGTGCGAACTAAATCCACCCGTGTTACTCTTCTCTCTACAGGGAAGCTGTTGGAAGCTGCCGACATTATAACATCTGCACCACCCAGCAGAGCCAGTATTACTTGGCAGAAAAGCATAATTTTAACACCATCGCAGAGCTTATCAACTATCACCAGCACAACGCAGCAGGTCAATATAACTGCCCGGGCCATATGGATACATAGTCTCAGCTTTAATACTGTGGTATTTGTTACACAATAAACTCATTTTCAAATTTGGTTACGGTAACAGGAAAAAGGAAATGAGTCATAAGCAAGTTTGAGTGGGGGGTAGGGGGCCATTGGAAATTTTGTGGGTTTAATTATTCTTTTTTTATTATTAATCTCCACTTTATTTAACTTAAATTTACAGTTGCTTTTTATTTTCTTTTTTAACGTCTTCTGTAGCCCTTTCACTCACATGTCAAAGCTCAATGAATTAGTTCATTCTTGCAATTCATATTCCAGTCATCTTTTCAAAAATGACTATCTTAATAGGTAATGTGGCTTTGTTATCTCCCCACTAGGCATGGTTAGCAGACTGAAACACATCGTATCTAACCGGGCACGGCCCCCATCCACAGCAGGCCTTGGTTATGGTAAGATTATGACTGCAGATGAAATTTAATTACACCTGCTTTCTTGGATTATGAATGTATTCTTTTTTATTATAACAGCTTTCAGAGAGTGTATAAAAGCTAACATGTAAGATACTGATCATTGTTTTAACAGTGTTTTGTGCTATTAGTATATTTGGCAAAGTTATTACACTTTTGTGCCTAGTATGAGATCAGAAGATTAAAAATGGTTTTCTGTCTGTGCACCTGATTACCTGGTTTTTAGTTTGATAAAAGGAAAAATGTTTCTAGTGTTTATGGTAACCAAGAGTGGCATCTCATTTATCTCTCAGCAGCAGCGCTAAAAAGATATATACAACGTGTCAAGCAGTTATTTTAATGAGGTCGTTACATGCTAAAAGAGCACAATTATTTTCTCTTGTTTGACGTAGGTGTGTGGGAGATTGACCCACACTTACTCACCTTCATCAAGGAGTTGGGATCTGGACAATTTGGAGTGGTGAAGTATGGGAAGTGGCAGGGACAGCATGATGTGGCCATTAAAATGATTAAAGAGGGCTCCATGTCAGAAGATGATTTCATAGAAGAAGCAAAAATCATGATGTAAGCACAACTAAATGATAATTGCTGAATGTCTAACTCACTCTAAGATGAGTCTGTTTGTGCACAAGACTCATAAAGCTGATCTGTCATACTGGGAATGGTAGTTCCTATAATGTCTTTGAGGAAACCCAGCTCACAGTGCTTAAGTTCCTTCTTCTTTTTGCTCAAACAAGGAAGCTTCGCCATGAGAACCTGGTCCAGCTCTATGGCGTGTGCACCAAACAAAGGCCTATTTATATAGTGACCGAGTACCTTGCAAACGGCTGCCTCCTCACATACCTCAAGGAGGGCCTGAAGCAGCACCCAACAAGCATCCAGCTGCTAGAGATGTGTAAAGATGTCGCTGAGGGCATGGCCTACCTCGAGTCACACCAGTACATCCACAGAGACCTGGTGAGAGACAATGATCCACTGTGTCAAAGCTTAAAAAAGAAAAATCCTGTTTGCTACCCAAAGATAACGCTGAAGGTTTAATGATTATTCCTGAACCAAAAGCATTGTTTGTTTTATCTCCAGGCTGCCAGGAACTGTTTAGTAGATGGAAATGGCACTGTCAAAGTGACTGACTTTGGGCTATCAAGGTAAAACACTTTACATAAGTTGCAAAAAGAACAAGACACACTGGTACATCATCAGCATAATATTAAAATCCTCTTCCTCCAAACCTTCCAGGTATGTTTTAGATGATGAATACACAAGCTCAGTTGGCTCAAAGTTCCCTGTCCGCTGGTCGCCACCCGAAGTCCTTCTTTACTGCAAATTCAGCAGTAAGTCTGACATCTGGGCATATGGTAAGTAATATACTGTATATATTTTTACTGTTTTATTGATGTACTTCAAAGTGAGTGGACACAGAAACTTCAGTATTAAAAATAATAAAGGTGCAAATGATTTAATAGGTTAATTAATAATTACTCTACTGTATAAAAACAGTTTTGGTGAATACATAGGGAAAATAAACGTGCTAACAAAAGTATTCTTTAAAATTGTAATTAAATAGTTAAATGGAAAACTAAATACATACATCGGGAATTTATATTACAATTAATGCATTAATACCTTCATTTAAAAATATATATTTTTATGCATGTAATGTTTTATTGTTCTGTTGATATCTATTTTTGACCTTTATATTTTGTTTTGTTTTGTTTGCTCAAATTGCATAAAAGCATAATGATTTTAAATTCTAACCATTTATATAATCCATTAGGGGTTTTAATGTGGGAGGTGTACACTCTGGGACGGCTTCCTTATGAGCGCCTCAACAACACGGAAATAGTGGACCAGGTGTCCCGGGGCCTGCGCCTCTTTCGCCCCCAGTTGGCCAACGAAAGAGTTTACAGCATTATGTCAAGCTGCTGGCTTGATGTAAGTGAATTTTCATATTTTATTGCAACTCTCGGTTGAGTTGACATTTAATATTGGCCCTAATCCTAGAGGTTTCCTTTGCTGTTCCTTTCAGAAAGCAGAGGAGAGACCAAACTTTCAGGAACTGGCGCTGACTGTTCAGGATCTGCTATATGAGCTCCAGTAGGACTCCGAATAATGTATCAGCACAAAACATCGACAGTTCACTCAGAAGCCCACAGAGTCGTATCTTCAGATGCCCCTGGAAAGATAACAGTCAGTGAAAGTAACAGCACAGCGAAGTCCTCTGAAATGTGAATATGTGTACTGTGAATATCACTGTTGCTCACTGATTATACTATCCTTTCCATCCCATAAGTAGAAGTACATTCCTATAGAGTAGCATTTCAATTGTGTACATTTTATTAAAGAGCACCGGATTGAGTTTGTATGTATGTAGTGAATTTTGTGAAATATTTGTTGAATGTGTAAACATCTTTGCATGTCTAAACAAGCTTTGTACGCGCATATGTATTGCACAAATAAAAGCCAAGTATACCAGGCTTTGAAATGTTTGAAACATCATCATGTGGGATGAAAATTAAAAATGAAAATGTGCAAAAGATGGAATGAAAATTTCCAACCATGCGACAGACCTGCTGTATTCACGGATGGCGTTATCCTCACCGAACTGAAAACAAACGCGTAAACACACCCTCAAATGGATACGGCTGTTACGAACTGCGGTCAAGTGAGCCCTCACTTACGAAGTCACAGTCAAGCTAGCCGCTCCGCCAGCCGCACCGAAAATGTGGTTGCACTACTCTTACGTATATTACGGTATGGGTGAAGACTGGCTTAGAAACGCAGTGTTTTGTGTCCTGACACTATTTTACTTCACAATCCACTCCCAGTTTTAGTGTATCTCCACTTTCCCCCTGTGATCCACAGCCCAAATTACTGTATGATTCAGAGAAAATTAACAATAAAATTTACCCAATTTACTCTACTGTACTCTTAATGTCCTCATCTTTGAGCTCAGATTACAGGAAAACTATAGGAGGTGACGCAGATATTTCACTGGATTATGACTCTGGGTGACCCCCACTCTTCACACTGTCATCCACAGCCAAAATTACTGTATGGATTTCCAGAAAATTGATAGTAAACTTTGCACAATTTACTGTACTATACTCTATATATTCTCATCTTTGAGCTCAGATTACAGGAAAACTGTAGGAGGTGACGCAGATATCTCACTGGATTCTGACTCTGGGTGACCCCCACTCTTCACACTGTCATCCACAGCCAAATTTACTGTACAGTTTTTGAGAAAATTCATAGCAAAATCTTCCCATTGTGCTTTACTGTACTCTACATATTGACATCTTTGAGCTCAGATTACAGGAAAACTGTAAGAGGTGACGCAGATATTTCACTGGATTATGACTCTGGGCGACCCCCACTCTTCACACTGTCATCCACAGCCAAAATTACTGTACGGCTTTCCAGAAAATTGATAGTAAACTTAACACAATTTACTGTACTATACTCTATATATTCTCAACTTTAACCTCAGATTACAGGAAAACTGTAAGAGGTGACGCAGATATTTCACTGGATTCTGACTCTAGGCTGTCGCCACTCTTCACCCTGTGATCCACATCAAAAATTACTGTACAGTTTTTGAGAAAATTGATAGTAAACTTTGCACAATTTACTCTACTGTACTTTTAATGTCCTCGTCTTTGAGCTCAGATTACAGGAAAACTGTAAGAGGTGACACAGATATTTCACTGGATTCTGAATCTAGGCCATCTCCACTCTGTACCCTGTGACCCACAGCCAAAATTACTGTATGGATTTCCAGAAAATTGATAGTAAACTTTGCACAATTTACTGTACTATACTCTATATATTCTCATCTTTGAGCTCAGATTACAGGAAAACTGTAAGAGGTGACACAGATATCTCACTGGATTATGACTCTGGGTGACCCCCACTCTTCACCCTGTGATCCACAGCAACAATTACTGTATGGATTTCTGATAAAAATTAAATCCTATTCCATTACCAAACAAAATGAGTTCATTGAAGTATTTGCTTAACTACAAGAAATTTCTTTCCACACACAATTTAAATTTTTCAAAATGTCATTCACACACCACCTCAAGTAGCAACTTTAGTTTTAGACATTATTTATTCAGTGCTTAATCACAACAATAGTCACCTTAAGGCACTTACATAATAAGTTAAACCTTACAATAATACATCATATGACCCCCTATGAGCAACAGTGGGAAGGAAAAACTCCCTTTTAACAGGAAGAAACCACCGGCAGAACCAGGCTCAGGGAGGGGCGGCCATCTGCCTCAACCGGTCAGGGTGAGAAATTACATTTCTCAGATTACTGATTTCTCATATTACTACTACACAGTTTAGATATATTGTTATTCATTATCTGTCATCACACAAATCAACCCAAAAAATCAAAAAGGAAATACTTGAAGTACGTGCACAAAGCAAGAATGTTATACACATTGTGTTTTACACATGTGTTCCTCAAAACACCAATAACAACTATAAGCAGATTATTCAAGTAGCTTTCACTGCATGTGGAATTAGGTTACACAAAGCACACACTTCCACTCTGTCTTCTGAGCACTGCTGAGCTGTTCATTTGTCATGTCCAGGCCTTCAGAATGGAACCAGCGGTTATCACATTGGATCTGTAAACAAAAACATATGAACTTTCATAAACACATTAAGTAAATAATTCTATGTTTTAATCAATTACAATCTTTAAGACACAGAGTCAAATACTTTGTTGTAGATAACATCAAACAATTATATATATATATATATATACATATATATATATATACATATATATATACATATACATATATATATATATATACATATATATATATATATATGTATATATATATATATACATATATATATATATATATATATATATATATATATATACATATATATATACATATATATATATATATATATATATATATATATATGTGTGTGTGTGTGTGTGTGTGTTAGTGTTCATCAGTTTGACACAAATAAATATGTCCATTTGAAGAAGATATTACACACTGGAGGCCTCAAGTATTGTCTGTGCAAATGTCCTTCGTGCCTGGGCCATCTCTTTTTTTGTCGTCAAAAATGTCATTTCTGGTTTATTTGGGAATGCTTCCATTACTACTTTGACCATCTGAAATTAAAAAAACCCCAAAAAATATATCAATTTTCTCAAAAACTGTACAGTAAATTTGGCTGTGGATGACAGTGTGAAGAGTGGGGGTCACCCAGAGTCAGAATCCAGTGAAATATCTGTGTAACCTCTTACAGTTTTCCTGTAATCTGAGCTCAAAGATGTTAATATGTGGAGTACAGTAAAGCACAATGGGAATATTTTGCTATGAATTTTCTCAAAAACCGTACAGTATATTTGGCTGTGGATCACAGGGTGCAGAGTGGGGGTCACCCAGAGTCATAATCCAGTGAGATATCTGTGTCACCTCTTATAGTTTTCCTGTAAGCTGAGCTCAAAGATGAGAATATATAGAGTACAGTAGAGTAAATTGTGCAAACTTTACTATCAATTTTCTCAAAAACCGTACAGTAATTTTTGCTGTGGATGACAGTGTGAAGAGTGGGGGTCACCCAGAGTCATAATCCAGTGAAATATCTGTGTCACCTCTTACAGTTTTCCTGTAATCTGAGCTCAAAAATGAGAATATTAAGAGTACAGTAGAGTAAATTGGGCAAATTTTATTGTTAATTTTCTCTGAATCATACGGTAATTTTGGCTGTGGATCATAGGGGGGAAAGTGGAGATAAACCAAAACTGGGAGTGGATTGTGAAGTAAAATAGTGTCAGGACAGAAAACACTGCGTTTCTAAGCCAGTCGGCACCTATACCGTAATATGCGTAAGAGTAGTGCAACCACATTTTAGGTGCGGCTGGCGGAGCGGCTAGCTTGACTGTGACTTCGTAAGTTGTTTTTTTTTTTTTTAAACTTTATTTATCACATTATAGACATACAGTCAAGTAAAACAGGGATCACTTAAAAGATAACATTGTGGTAGTACAATGAGGAACAGAAAGAGTGACAAAGACAGTAAGACAAAAGTGAGTACAAAAAATAAAATAAATCAAGGGGAACATAAATAAACAAAAGTTTGCAAGAGCCAAAATCAAGTTAGCAGTTTCAATCGGTTACAGATGTTAACAGTCTTGAGAGCCTTCGTGTTTTTTGATGAGGAGATTGTCCTTATATATTGTGCAAGTTCCATTTTTAATACAAGAAGTTCAGGCTTTCTGCCGAGGACTTTGCTTTTGTGTATATTAAATTTTGCCAAAAATAAAACCAAATTTATAAAGAAGAAAGCATCATTGTCCTTGTCTTTAAAATTATAATAGCCAAAGATAACATCCTTATAGTACAGTTGAAGATTAGGGAGAACAGAGTCAGTAATAAACTTGTGGAAATCCTTCCAGAATTTACACGTAAATTTACATGACCAAAACAGATGAGAAACTGTTTCAGGTTGCTCTTGACAGAAGGTACAATTTACATTTATTTCAGCCATAAATTTGGACAAATATTGTTTGGTAGGGTAAAACCTACGAATCAACTTAAAGGAAATCTCTTTAATTTTGTTTGTCAAGAAAAACCTTTGTGGTAAAGTCCAAACTTTTTTCCATTCAATATCTGTTACAAAATTGGCCCAATAAAATATGGCTGATGGAACAGAGACCATTGCATCCTGAATGTGACTTTGTAAGTGAGGGCTCACTTGACCGCAGTTGTTACGAAAGTCTACGTGTACAGGATGACGATGCTTGTCACACAAACGTGCTCTGTGATTGGCTGAACTACTTCCCGTTTCCCGTCGTGCACACACACGTGAAGGTCAGCAATAAAGCCATTAAGCATTTACAGTTTGCAAAATATTACTAGTACGACCTCTTTATAAGCAAGTATGGACAGCCAGGGAGCGACAGCTGACCCTCAGCTTCAGCAGTTCATCGAAATCGAGTCTCAGAAACAACGATTTCAGCAGCTGGTGCATCAAATGACGGAGGTCTGCTGGGTAAGATGAGCGTTACGCTACCAGCTCAGCTCTGCCATTTGCTATGTGTATAAATATATCTGGTTTTTTTGACTGATGGCTGGTGTGTCTTATATTATACACAATTTTAGGCTTCCGTTTTTACTGGCCGTGGACAGAAAACTATATTAAAAATTGATTTTAGCCGTTTACAAACACCGGGTCGCACCGCTTTTCTTAGGCGACCCTTACCGCTATGTCAAAGCAGGGATTCAGTAATAAAGTGTTAGAGACACTATACTATTCACTATACCCCGGCTTGGTATAGCTGGCGCTTTAGATAAGGAGTATCGGAGTGAAGCGAGGTGGACGGACATGTAGTATTTTAATGTTCATGTCAAAGCGGGCAAAAGGCAGACGTGAGGTCACGAAGGACCGCCTAAGAATTTCCTGAATAACTGGTTTAAAAACACTTTTGGCTTCGACTTCGAGTGTCTGAGCAACACGTCCGAATCGTGGAGTGCCGCACTGCGTGCTGAGGTCACAGCTGGGGCACATCACGCGCTGACGTAAAGTTGGTACTTTGTAACAGGAACTCTGGCGCTGTATCCAATCTTGCCGTTACATTTCCTTTTAATCGTGTCTCTGTTTCCAGGAGAAGTGTATGGATAAACCCGGGCCGAAGCTGGACTCGAGGACGGAAGCGTGCTTTGTTAACTGCGTGGAGCGATTCATCGACACCAGCCAGTTCATCTTAAACAGACTGGAACAGACTCAGAGGAGCCGGGGGTCGTTCTCAGAGACCATGTCAGACTAAAAACTGTCTCTCAGAGCGCTAACGAGGCACACGGGCACTGCTCTGAGAGGGACCGTACCTCTGACCCTGCTGTCTGTACAGTACCTTGAAGAACTGTCCAGCCAATGGGGGGAAAAGGAATCTAAAGTGTTACCTTTTCATACAAGTGCCTGAAAGTAACATCGAGCATGGACTCCTGTAGTTTTTTTAATTTGTCTTCTGCTGGCATCTGAGTGTTGAGAAAAAAACAAACAAAGCCACAAACCTAAACTCTGTTTTTGTCAAGTCACAGAGCTCAAGCTTTAAAACTGAGTCTGAATGTGAAAACTCACAAAATGTGCAAAAACACACTAAGCTGGCCTGCTGGGGGTTTACTTGCAGCAAGAGGACTTAACTACATGCTGGTGTAATGAAAGGAACTAAAGATGTCTTGACAGAAGAGGCATGATCAGCAGCCGAGGCTGAACATATGCAATAAATAAATTTAACAAAAAGAAAAACCAAACAATATTGTCCATCTTTTGGAAGAGTGCAGTGACATGATGTTGTAAATGTGTTTTAATCGGCATTATCAAACATCCAAAACACAGTTAACGCAGCAATTTGTTACAGCTTGCACACATTAGGTAGACATTTATACAAGTAGACTGCATTCTTTGGTGTGGTTTGTGTGTAATACTGAGGTAATTCAGTAACTGACATCATCGACTCAGAGCAAATTAAGACTTTAACACTGACTGCATTTAAATAAGCTCACACATTTTTAAGCATGATCAAAGCTAAAGGTGCAAAACTTTGGTTATAGTTTTCAGTAACAGAAGGCACAATCTGGCTTGTGAAGGCTACTTTTTAACTCAATATGTTGTAAAAAAAAACAAAAAAACCCCCAAATGTACACACCAGTATGATGTGGACAACTAATTTTAAATAAAATCCAGTGTACTGATAGCATTACTCTCATTTTAAAGCCTCCTCTCCCATCCTCCTCACTTTTTTGTAAGATAGATTGTAAAGCTGTGATATGCATTAAAGTTTTAGAATGACTTTGTAGTGATAATAACAATACTGGCCCTCTTTAAGGTGCTCTCTGGTGTATACCCCACCATCCATTTGTGGCTCCTTCTCTGGGAAGATTCATCTCGTCTTGTGCTTGCAAGTTATAGCTGGGAAGAGCCAAGTATGGCTGTTGGCCCCATGGAAAGCCCTGAGGACCTTTCCTCAGATAAAGTGGGAGGGAATCCCAGGTAAATGTAATGTCTTTAAAGGCATGGAGGAGAAAAATTCCCAAAATGATGGTCAAGAACCCACTGATTGTTCCCACTATTCCATCTATGTTCATTCTTAACCATTCCTTGAAGAGGATGGCCGAGCAGGCCATGACAGACGTGGTGAAGAAGACGTAATAAATGGGAGTCACTAGTGATGTGTTAAAAATGTCAAGGGCTTTGTTCAGGTAGTTGATTTGAAGGCTGACACAGATTACCAGGCAGATGATTAAGGCCCAGAACAAAGGTTCCTTCAGCACCGCTGTCCCGGCAAACAGCTCCTTAATGCCAATGCCCAGGCCCTTGACACAAGACACAGAGAGCGAGCCAATCACAGAGCAGATCAGGATGTAGACCAGCACATTCTTCTGTCCAAAACGCGGAGCCACAGCACAGATAAGAATCAGACTGCTTCCCACAACGCACACAGCAAACACAATGAAACCTAACGGGAGCATTCAAGAATGAGTTAGTAACCTGAAAAAAATCAAACATCCAGCTCCTTTCAGGGATTCAGCTTCCACAGTGTTGTTAATCAGATCACAGCAAAGCAGGTCTGGTCATACCTGGATCCAGGAGCTTCTCAGACATGGCACTGAGGGAAGCCACCTCTTCTTCCTGCGGTGCATGGATAACCATGACTGTGGAGCCCAAGACGCAAAGCAAACAACCAATCTTCCCATGGACATTCAACCTCTCGTTCAGAAAGTAAGAGGACAGCACGGCACTGGAGATGAAAAACATACACAGCAGAGGCAGCATTGGCACAAATGGTACTGTTCCATATTTAGAAGGGTATTTCTTTCATAGTGGAAAAAAGTGAAAGCAACAGCTTTTAGCAAATATATAGATATTTCAAACCATAGTAAATATACTGTATTTACTGGGGATCATTTTCAATCTCAGATGCATTTCCAACATGCATCCTTCATTAATAATACTAGTATACAACATAATACATTAAACCTTTAAAACGTTTACCTGACAAGTACACTCAATGCTCCTAGTGGAGTCACAAGTGTGGCTGGTGCAAATGCATATGCGGCAAAGTTGGCAGCCTCTCCAGCTCCCACTGCAACACAGCAAAGATCGTCATTAGCATGCAGATATATTCATATCTGGTGCAGCTGCTTAGGTTAAATATTTTCTTCCAAACCCACATGTGCAAATGTGCTCTTTGAAGGAATGTGTACTTGGAATATTTGGTGTGGGTGCAGTGCTTACTGCCACGTCACCAGCAAAAAAAAAAAAAAACAACCCACAAATGCCTTGTTTTGTTTTAAGAAAACAAAGAAGACAGTGTTTCTAGGAAGAATCCTGACCTTGTTGCCCGTTTACAGGGCAGGATTAAATCTGCCAAAGATTCACTTACTTGAAATTAATCCTGCCCACCACAGCCATTCTTTCAGGTAAGCATGGCCCCCTTGACCTGTTAGTTGCACAAAGAGAAACTGCAGTAGATTTCACAATAACAGCTGCAGATTTCGCCCTCAAAACCATCATTGTTGGTACATTTATGAACAACCAGGTTAATGTTACTAATCATAAGTTACACAATGTACTGCGGTAGCTTGAATGTGCACAGCCCTTCCGATACCCGCTGTAGTATATTTTTATTATTCAGGTACACCTGTCTTCTTTTGCACTACAACATATAGCTGTAGTTTTCCACAACTTATCTCGATTTTATTTATGCAGTTCAAAACAGCCAACATCTCAAGGACCTTACGGATTATGATTAACTCATAAAACATGATATAAAGTTCTCAGTTACAAAGCCCGAGGTTTTATAAAGTAGTTTAAATCAATTCCATATCAAAAAGCTAAACTGCTGTTTATATAATAATAATAATACAGTAATAAGACATTAATAGAAATGCCTATGTATTTATGGAAGAACTATAGTCCATGAGTCATTTTGAGTCATTTTGTCAAAAGCAAAATATTACATATTTACTGCTTCTTAAATGTAAGCATTTAATGCTTCTCTATGTCTTGAAGCTTTATTATACATATTAACTCCTGGTTAACTAGTAAATCCCTAAAAAGTAAATCCATTCTTTGTTTAAAAAACATACATAAATAAATCTAATTTCATTTGTAATAAGGGATAAGTCTTTACTGTACCAGATGGGTGTGTCTTTTAGTAAACTCTTGTAAAACAGGGTTAAATACCACTGGCATACTGTGACTAGCAGCTTTGGTGCTACAGTGCAGTGGTTTCTGCATACCTAGGTGTCAGAATCACATAGGAGAAGTCACAAGGAAATCTCTTACATTTTTTTCTCAAATTAATATGCCACGTTTTCTCATAGTTGTGCTTTTTAGATGAGCTGACTTGTTTATTGTCACAGAAAAGTCCAATATTCTGTCATTTTCCCTCTAAAATGTCAGACTTCGATGCAATGATTAAATTTTTAGTCTTACGTGATAGTTAAGCGAGTAAGAGTCTCAAAGTATGTGAATGCAACACAGCTGCATGACAACTAAGCTCCCTCCATCTTACTGTTGATAATGAAAGCTGGATCATTTCCATCATGACAATTGCAATAACAATTCAGCTTTAAGGGTTACTTTATCGTGTTGTTGTTGTTGTTGATACAACTACGTGTTCTAAAAATCTCTTCGCGCGCTCGCATAAACTTCGCTACAGTTGAGTTTTGTTGTATCACCTGCTCGCATGGACCCCTTGCTGGCCAATCGGAGCAGGCCTTTCTTCTTCAAGATGAAACTTGAGCCGATAAAAACACTGGAGCTCACAGCTAGTGAGAGGCCAATGTAGAAGTCCAACCGCGTCACCTCCATCTGAAACAGCGGATAATGCAGTTAAACATGTTCCGGGTGTAAAAATGGTCGACCTACTTCAAACACGAAACTTTCCAGGCATCGAGCGCCGGAAAGCTCATGTTTAAAGAAGTCACATGACAGGCTGACCGTACCGCGACGAACTGAAACTACCCATTAAAACGACCGTAAAAGCGGAGCAATATGAAAGTACGTACCGCTCTGATTTGCTTGTAGTTTGTTTTAGTGCAATTCAGCTTTAGCCGGTCGGCTAACGTCACATTTTGTGAAATGTTTTACCTCCGTCGTCACATTAAAGCTATTCGTCACATTCATTGCGGACCGCGGGAGGAGAAGCAGCTGATTGGCTGGTCGTCACCAAGCAACTTCCTTGTGATCGTCTTGGAAACGGTTATCTGCTACCGGTCAAACAAACAGCTGCTCGCCATGTTTTCATACGGGATTACAGATTAAATTGTTTTCGTGATATTTAGTTATAATGGCTGTTTTCCTTAATAACATCAACAAAGTACTGGAAAGAAAGTCGTAGAAGAAATAACAGAGAAAGGTGTTAGAATATGATACTGATAAAACAGTAAAGGGTCAGTCTACAGTTGCAGGACATTTTCTGTATGAAATACGACAACATGTTTGTTGTGTAAAACACACTTCTACTAAGATAAAATGTACCTAGTTGTTTAAAACGTGGTTCCAAAATATTATTTAAAACACAGACAAATTGCATTTTTCTCTTGTCCCTACTTGCTGATAATGACATGTCTTATACACTATAGGATTTTAAATGAGTTTTACATTAACTTGATTGTTTTGAATTCGTTAACATATCTATAATTGTTCAACCTTTTTTAAACCTTTTCTAAACATCAGGATAGTTTAAAAAAAACGTATATATCCACAGCAAGTTCCCACAAAATATGTGCAGCCTTGTTACCGAAACCTATTTAGCCTCAAAAAGGAAGAGACAAAACAATGAGGTGGCATGATAAAGAAGAAGTGACATGATCAAGTCCCGTGCTAACACCAATGGTAGACCAAAGGTCAG